TTCAGACTCTGCGCCCAGCCATGAGCTCCAGCCCTTAAACATGCTGCCTCTGTCCTCTTCTGATAGGAAACGTCTTATAGATGCATCGCAGATGAGCAAACGCTCTAAAAAATACGTCTTGCAGATGTAATGCAGACGTCTAATAGACGTCTCTGTGATGTACGAGTGCTATCAGGGAAGCTGCATATTTACATTTTGACAGGAATGAAAACAACATAGCGACGAGACGTCATCGTGGAAAAGAAAAAAAGAAGAAAGAAGAAACTTCCAGGAGACAAAAACTCCATAAAAATAGTTTTTTGAAAGTTGCGAAAACTAGTGAATGGACGCACTGCTTCCTGAAACAGTAAAAAAAAAAAAAAAAAATTGAAATAAAAATTATCTATCGACCAGATTGTCACCGATTTTTTGTGGGGTGGTAAAGTGCCCAGAATTCGGAAATCATTGCTTCAGAGATGCCAGCTGAATGGTGGGCTCTCTTTACCTAATTTCATGTTTTACTATTGGTCAGTAAATAGTCATAAGATAACATTTTGGCTTAATATGTCCACAGCACCATAGTGCAGATTGGAAGCTAATTCATGCATATCTACCTCTCTGTTGGCTTTGCTTACTTCACCCCAATCCTGTAATGTCTCTTCGGCTTCCTTTACACATAATCCAGTAGTTGTATCTACACTTCGGATTTGGTGCCAGTTTAGGCGACACTTTAAATGGACTTCTGCTTCGACTTTGATGCCATTATTGGAGAATCATGTTTTCCCCATCTCTTACTGATCCTGTATTTAAACAGTGGGCATGCAATAGGCTTGAGATGTTTTCAAGACCTGTACAGTGGTGGCACATTCTGTAGCTATATACAATTATCTTCTAATTTGGGATTGTCAGAATCCCACTTGTATCGGTTTTTACAGATTAGACACTATTTACACAGGTTACCCATCTCTGCCCCCAAGCTAATATTTCTGCAATTCAATCCAAATCACAAGTCCCAAATTTTGAGAATTTATGGTTGTATTTTAGGTTTAAATGACTGTTCGATTGACACAATTAAAAGAGCTTGGGAGTCAGAAGTGGGTGAAAGTTTTGAAGAGGACTGGTGGGCGGGTGCACTGGACAGAATACATTCTAGTACAATTTCTGCACGTCTTGGCCTCATACAATTTAAAATACTATACAGAATCAATTTTTCCAAGGCCAGGTTATCTGAAATATTTCCTAATATTGAAGACAGATGTGACAGATGTCATGCTTCTCTGTGCAATTTGAGTCATATGTTTTTTACTTGTCCTATGTTGCAAAATGTTTGGGTCAATTATTTTACAACTATGTCTAAAGTGTTAAAAGTTAGAATTGATGTTTGCCCCGCTATAGCAATCTTTGGGATAGCAAAAATTTGGTCTCAGTTTAATTCAAAACAACTGGATATTATATCCTTCACTTCTTTGTTAGCTAGGCGCCATATTCTGCTCCACTGGAAATCTAATAAGCCTCCAACAACCTCCCAATGGCTAGTGGATACCATGTTTTTTTTTTAAACTGGAAAAAGTAAGATGTTCTGGGAAAAGTCATTTCTTCAATAAATGGCGTGTCCCTTTATAGCTTACTTCAAGTCTCTTAATATTCTACCTCCTGGTTAATTAATGATTATGTATGTATGTGTATATATATATATTTGTATTAAATATATATTGTATTTTATCTATTTGTATTACAATGACTACTATTTTCTATAATTAGTTGTATTCTTTATTTTATGATAGTTTTGTAGTTATTTAATTTATTACTTTCTTTTTTTTCTCTGTTTTTATTATTATTATTTATTTTTTTATTGGTTATGGATTATGTTTGGGTTTGGTCTTAAAATGTAAAAAAAAAAAGTGTTAAAAATGTGTAATCTATTTTCTTGTTGTAATAATATTTGTTTTAATAAAAAGTTTGAACATAAAAATAAAAAAAATAAAAAAGAAATGAAAATAATGTTTCGAAATTGCTTCACCACTAGGTTCGCCGCAAAGTGTTGATTTCTGTGCACCCATGTGATCTCAGATCAGTTTTATATACATTTGTAGACATTTTGACACATTTGTATAATAAAAAGAAGAGTTGTATGATAGCACACGTCCATCACGGAGACATCTGCAAGACGCATTTTTTAGAGTGTTTGCTCATCTGCAATACATCTATAAAACGTTTCCTATCAGATCTCAAATAGACGTTTAGAAGATGTCTTTAAGATGTTTATGATGTAAAACTGACATCTTAGAGACATCTATCAGATGTTTGCACACTCAGATGCTTTCCAGATCTTTAACAGACGTCTTGCAGACGTACCTGCACTCTCTGGATTTTGGACTTTTTAAGCTCTTCATAAAACAAACAAAACAAGCCAAATAACACATATTATACAGACACTTGGTTTTTGATGGTATTAGATGATTTGTTAATTGCATTTAATACAGTACCTTTTCAACGAAACATTTACGTTTGTAAAAGGTGTTTTTACTTTTACTGTGTGATAGCGATGAAGTAAACAATGCTTTATATTTAGACATTTAGAGTAGATAAAGCACACAAATTATGTGACGAAATTGAGAAGTTAAAATTAGAACTACAAACATGTATGAAGTGTTAAAAACTACAAACATGGTGGATATGCGAGAACTACAGACAGGTAGAGAAAGGGGTTCGAGTGATAATATGTAACCTGTTGAAAAAATATTTATTTAATGTTATCCGCGTTATATTTCATCTGCAGAAACACTGTGAACTTTATAAGGATACATTTGGTCATTAGCTTTTAAATGCATCATTATGCAAACACATGAGCAGAGTTCTCGACCTGATAGACCCGCGCGCGACTAGCAGATCAACGTGCCTCTTCATTTCTCTCCAGTATGGTAGGAAATCAAATTAAACGAAATGGATGATGTTAACTGTGATGAGATGATTGACAGGGCAGTTTAAACCGAGACAGAATGCACGTAACTAAGCAACAGAGCATCCCTTAAAGAAGCAGCTATGACGAAGTAGCATGTCCCGAAGCTTAGTCTGCTACATACTCAAAAGTATGTAGTTTTTCTTCACAAAAAGAGTACATACTTTTAGGGCATAGTATAAGTAGGCGAATTGGGACGCAGCGGAACTTCGGAGCGCAAACCGTGAATCACTTGATTTAGATCGGAACTTTGGAGCCGGTTCACAAATCTTTTGATTTAGATCGGAACTTTAGAGCCGGTTCACGAATCTTTTGATTTAGATCGGAACTTTAGAGCCGGTTCGCAAATTTTTTGATTTAGATCTGAACTTTAGAGCCGGTTCCCGACTCTTTTGATTTAGATCGGAACTTCGGAGCCGGTTCGCGAATCTTTTGATTTAGATCGGAACTTCGGAGCGCGTATCGCGAATCTTTTGATTTTGATCGGAACTTCGGAGCTGGTTCACGAATCTTCTGATTTAGATCTGAACTTTAGAGCCGGTTCCCGACTCTTTTGATTTAGATCTGAACTTTGGAGCCGGTTCACGAATCTTTTGATTTAGATCGGAACTTCGGAGCGCGTATCGCAAATCTTTTGATTTAGATCTGAACTTCGGAGCGCGTACCGCGAATCTTGATTTAGATCTGAACTTTGGAGCCGGTTCACGAATCTTCTGATTTAGATCTGAACTTCGGAGCCGGTTCGCGAATCTTTTGATTTAGATCTGAACTTTGGAGCCGGTTCGCGAATCTTCTGATTTAGATCTGAACTTCGGAGCCGGTTCGCGAATCTTTTGATTTAGATCGGAACTTCGGAGCGCGTATCACGAATCTTTTGATTTAGATCGGAACTTCGGAGCCGGTTCACGAATCTTCTGATTTAGATCTGAACTTTAGAGCCGGTTCCCGACTCTTTTGATTTAGATCTGAACTTTGGAGCCGGTTCACAAATCTTCTGATTTAGATCTGAACTTCGGAGCCGGTTCGTGAATCTTTTGATTTAGATCGGAACTTCGGAGCGCGTATCGCAAATCTTTTGATTTAGATCTGAACTTCAGAGCGCGTATCGCGAATCTTGATTTAGATCTGAACTTCGGAGCCGGTTCACGAATCTTTTGATTTAGATCGGAACTTCGGAGCGCGTATCGCGAATCTTGATTTAGATCTGAACTTCGGAGCCGGTTCACGAATCTTTTGATTTAGATCTGAACTTCAGAGCGCGTATCGCGAATCTTGATTTAGATCTGAAATTCGGGGACGGTTCACGAATCTTTTGATTTAGATCTGAACTTCAGAGCGCGTATCGCGAATCTTGATTTAGATCTGAACTTCGGAGCCGGTTCACGAATCTTTTGATTTAGATCGGAACTTCGGAGCGCGTATCGCGAATCTTTTGATTTAGATCTGAACTTCGGAGCGCGTATCGCGAATCTTTTGATTTAGATCGGAACTTCGGAGCGCGTACCGCGAATCTTCTGATTTAGATCTGAACTTTGGAGCCGGTTCACAAATCTTTTGATTTCAATCGGAACTTCGGAGCCGGTTCCATGTAAATAAAACCATGGTTTTATTATAGTAAAAATGTAACTTTCTTTTTGGCGTTTTACTACAGTTTTACTACAAATACCAGGGTAAACTATGGTTAGTGACGCAAAACCACAGATAATTTGTGGCTGCCATGATTATAGCAATCACGGTGTTTATTTCATGTAAATGTACACCGGTTTCTCACACCAATATATATATTTTTTTTACTTTTCTCTCAAGCCTAGAAATTCTCCATTAAAATCAACAGGGATTTGAATTCAGATGTTACTGAACTTAATTGTCCTGTTCTTGATCTGAATAAAATATAAATGGAACATAAATACCTTTATTACGCTCCAAAGAATCATAAATCAACTCAAGAACTAAGGGTTTTACTTTATAAAATCAGCACTATAAAAAAAAAAAAACTAATGGAAACATCATGATCATTCAAGATATGAAGAAATAAATCTTTAAAACATGATTTTGCAAAAAGCATTTATTTTAATTTATAGCCTAACAGTTTAAACTTTATTATTTGAACAAACAGCAGCAAAGAATTCACATTAAAAAAATCCAGTTTCGGCTCTGAACAGTTATCAGATGTGATAAGTGCGAGCGAACGGTTAGACGAGCGTCTGAAGTCGAGTCGAGACTCACATGACGGCACAGCTAGCGTCCTGATTGTGTCTCTGAGCCTGAAACACACACAGATTATTCACAAACATCTGCATGAGAACGACTGAATGAACTAAAGCGGAGCACGAACGTTCACATCTGAATCAAGCTGCAGCCTAGAGACGACATGCACACAGCAGATTCACCAGATGAACAAACAGAGAAGTTAAACATGCATCTGCATGTGCCAGCCTGAAAAAAAGCAGTTTGTTACGGTAGATTTACCATACCATTATTATCAGATTTTATTGCAGATTAAAGATGTCAGCCTTTCTAGTAGATTGACCTTTAAGTAGATGGAAAATAGATGCAAACAAATAAGAAAAAAAATACATAAAAATCAATCAATATATAATATAAATAAAAAGATAAATGCATAATATAAGAAAACAATACATAAACAAAATGACTTAAAGGAGACATATTATGCCCCTTTTTACAATATATAAGTCCCTGATGTCCCCAGAATGTGTCTGTGAAGTTTCAGCTCAAAATACTGCACAGATCATTATATAAATTTTGAAAATGCCTATTTTGAGTGGAAGCAGAAACGCAAGCTATTTTTCGTGCTTGTCTCTTTAAATGCAAATGAGCTGCTGCTCCCCGCCCCCTTTTCCAGAATAGAGCTGTGCCTTTACGGCTCATACCTGTTAAAAACATCTGTTTTGGTTCTGATTATCATGTTTATCGTGCTGAAATCATGCGTTTTAAATTCTAAACTTCAGATATAAGGTTTTCTGAGCGCACACATCTGAAGCACACGCACAGAAAGCGGCTGTCACAGCATGCGAGTACTAAACTAAGCTCTCAGTCACACACATTAACACCTGGAAAAGTCAGATTTTCATGATACGTCACCTTTAATACATAATATAAATAAAAACAAAAAAAATAGATAAAGACATAGCACTTAAAATAAATATTCCAAAAAATAAAAATACACAAATATATACAGAAAATGCAAAAACACAAAGAAATAAAAATACATAATATAAATAAAACCATAGATACATGCATAAAATATAAATAAAGAGCAAACAAATGACTTGATACATAAAATACAAACCAGAACTAAATTAAAATAAAAACAAAAATGCATTAAAAAAAAAAAACATTAAATGAGAGAAAAAAATAAATAAAATAAGGAATTTATTAAATGGGTCTCAGAAGAGCAAGCCTATAATTCCTTGTCATATGGACAGAAATGTATACATTTCATAAAAAAATTTAAATACTGTTTCACAGCTCAGCAAGAGGCTCAAACCCTGAGCCTGTTCAGATAAATGTTGAGCTCCTGTGCTGTGAGTGTTGAGATGAAACACACGGCTGTTAAAACACGCTCTAATGCTGGCGACGTGTTAGCAAACATGCAAAGCTGCAGTGACTGCGAACGCAGAACCCATCTCACCTCCAGCCCGTCAGGACACAGAACAACATTTCTTTTTCCTTCTTTTGGGCTTTTACAGAACACAGGTGAAGAAGAAACCACATGAATGCAGATTTCATCTAGTGCTCTTGTTTCAGAGAAAACACAGCATGTTTTTAAAGAAACAGACTGTCTGAAAATGACAAATGTTGCATTTATAGTCATGCATTTGACATGCTTTTATCCAAAATGAGTGGCATTGCATTCAAAGTGCATGCATTTTCTGGGAGTATTAAACCAGTGATGTTCATCTGCGTCATCGACTGTTTGAGCTCCTCTCATCGAAACAAACGAGGAATCATCTGAAGACTATGATATAATGTGATGTAAAGGGCTTTACCTGTCGGCGCAGGTGGACTTCACGGCTCGGGATGTTCTCGTCACACTCCAGATCCTCGTCAGCTTTACCCTGAACACACACCAGACAAAACTCTGCCGTTTCCTGACACACACACACACACACACACACACATTTTAGAGGCTGCACTCTCAGAAGCAATCAGAAGTTCAAACTTCATTTATATTCACTATAGTATTTCAAGCAATTAAACGGCATGATCGATTTGTTTATTCAAAATAATAATAATATAATATTCTCTGGAACACTTCCTGGCGCTGTGTTCAAACTTCTCAGGTACTCTGGGACATGCTGTCGATGATCAAAACAAAATGGATAATAAATGTATATACAAATATAAAATAAACCAAAAGAATTAATAAAAATATTAAAATTAATAAAACTAAATAATAATAATTATTATTATAAAAAATAAAAATACAATTTAGATGACAAAGTTGCATAAAATATTGCTGAAAGTACTTAAAATAAAAAAATACATAAATATAATAAAAAAAGAAATAAATTAAACGAATAGATAATTTAATAAAACAAAAAATGAATGAAATAAATAGGTAGTAATAATAATAATAATAATTATTATTATTAAATAATTTAATACAATTAAATTGTGAAAGTTGCATAAAATTAGATAAAATTGCTGAATTTTAAATGAAATATAAAACAAACAAAACTAAATTAATAATAAAAAAATGAATAAACTAAATAGATAATTATTATTAAAAAAATAATACAATTTAGTTGACAAAGTTGCATAAAATACGATATAAAAATTGCTGAAATTTTAAATAAAACAAAAAAACAATACATAAATACAAATTAAATAAACTAATCAATTAAATGGATAAATAAATGTAATAAATTAATGAACTAAATAAATAAATAGGTAGTAGTAATAATAAATAATCAGCATTACTATTAAATAAAAATACAATTAATGCGAGTTGCATAAAATTAGATGAAATTGCTGAAAATATATATCAGTGTAATGATATTAATAAAAACAGTATTCTTCCACCAAACAATGTAGTTGTTTGTATAAATTAAGTGGTTGCCGAGCAACACACAAACGTAAACAAAGGTGTATGTTACTTTGTAGCGTCACTTACGACAGCTTCGAACGCGGCTCAGCCAATCAGAGCCAAGCACCGGAACTCTCCGCTTTATAACACCGAGTTAGGAATAGACGCACGTGAACTGCTATAATTGGAAATCACCTCGTTCTGCGGGTTCAGCAGAGAGACGCGCACCTCCCCAAACGGGCCCCAGGTCTCATGGGTCCTGAGCACCAGATCCCCCCGAGGCACCAGCTCCGTCGCTGACCCCGCGGCCCAGATCTGAACACACACACACGCACACACGCACACACGCACACACGCACACAGCGTTCAGACAGGTCACACGGACAAACCCCAGCTCATGTACCACGGTTTCACCACGCTTACCGTCAGCGTCTGTCCGGCGTGCAGCACACACGGCGAGGGGATCTGAAAAACGATGTCAGGAGCTTCTGCTTCACTCTTCCTCAACACCCAGCCGCCGAGAGACTGATCCTGGAGCACAGACAGAGCGGGACATTCACTGCTAATGAACCACACGAACAGCTGTCTGTGTGTCGAACACTCACTCAAGTCATCCAGAAATACACTTTAACACATGCATTGCATATGCATTCAATTTTCTAGCAAAAATACAGTGTGATGTACTGCAGGCTTATTATTGTCTTAAACCATAAAACATTTACTTGAAATAAAAACTGGGAGAAAAAAAATTAAAATCACTTAGCAGCCAAGGCAACATTTATAATGTTTAATTGAAGTACAAAAAATAAAATAACACTGAAAATATATATATATATATATATATATAAAAAAAATTTAAACCAAAAAAAAAAAAAAAAGACAATTTAAATTATTAAACGCTATATTAGACATTAAAAAAAACCAACACAAGTGATAAAAACAAAATTACTAAAACGTACTAAAATGAAAAATGGAAAATGAGAAAATAAAATTTGAATTAATAAACTACAAACATAAAAAAAGCGACAAAAACACAAAATTACTAAAACTTGAATTAAATTGAAGGAATACTGTATAAAGTAAAACAAAAAAACTCAATATTGATAAACTATAGACATACAGTATTAAAGTGATAAAAAGTAAAATTACTAAATTTAATTAAAATGAAATAAAAACACAAATGACAAAACTACTTAATTTTTTTTTTAAACCTAGTTAAGTGACATCAAAATGACTAAATCTTAAATTAAAATAAAAAAATAAGAAAAAAAATCTAAATATTAAAATTTATATAGATATACTAAAAAATAAATAAAAAACGGACAATTACTAAAATTGAAATAAAATGAAAATTCTAAATATTAATACTATATACAGTATAAAAACACAACTATCAAATTAAAATGAAACCATAAAAGTGAAACATTTAAAATATGATTAAAAACTACACAGACATGCTGAATGCGACAAAAATAAGACTACCAAAACTTTCACAAACAAAATAAAAATAAAAGTAGTGATTAAAAATCTTAAATTACATAGATATTAAAAAATATATACAATTATAAACACAACAAAACTACTAAAACTTACAAAATATTAATAGAAACTAGGGCTGCACAATTAATCGAATTACTAATCGCGATCACAATTACGGACGCCACAATTACGTAATCGTTCAACGTCCATATTAGTCCGGTATTCTGCACGCTTAAGATGCGTTTTTTTCTTTCTACATGTTATCTTAAGCATTTTCAATCGTTTTAATTTTAGTGTTAGAATAACATATTAGTGCTGCACGATTATGACAAATCAGAATTGTCGATTATTCCCTTGAAATAGTAATTGCGATTATTAATTACCATTATCACAATTTACACTGAATGGTGTTTATACCAGTGTTTGAAGCAACCGCATGCCGTATTTTTATATGAAAATAAACAAGCTGCGAACACTAACCTTTAGTGCTTCTCTATAGTATTAAGCCTATAGTATCAGATTGGTTTCTTCTTTAAATTATAATAAAGTATGAATATGAATGGTATGTTATACTTAAACTAAAACAATGGAAAAACACTTAAGATAACATGTAGAAAGAAAAAAAACGCATCTTAAGCGTGCAGAATAACATGAGTGGACTTTGAACGATTACGTAATTGTGGCGTCCGTAATTGTGATTAGAAATTAGATTAATTGTGCAGCCCTATAACATATAATCCCATGCATATTGACTTTTTTATTAGAATTTAAAGAAGAAACCAATCCGATGTATATTTGACATTTGAGACTTAATACTATAGAGAAGCACTAAAGGTTAGTGTTCGCAGCTTGTTTATTTTCATATAAAAATACGGCATGCGGTTGCTTCAAACACTGGTATAAACACCATTCAGTGTAAATTGTGATAATGGTAATTAATAATCGCAATTACAATTTCAAGGGAATAATCGACACTTCTGATTTGTCATAATCGTGCAGCCATGAATATGAATGGTATGTTATACTTAAACTAAAACAATGGAAAAACACTTAAGATAACATGTAGAAAGAAAAAAAACGCATCTTAAGCGTGCAGAATAACATGAGTGGACTTTGAACGATTACGTAATTGTGGCGTCCGTAATTGTGATTAGAAATTAGATTAATTGTGCAGCCCTATAACATATAATCCCATGCATATTGACTTTTTTATTAGAATTTAAAGAAGAAACCAATCCGATGTATATTTGACATTTGAGACTTAATACTATAGAGAAGCACTAAAGGTTAGTGTTCGCAGCTTGTTTATTTTCATATAAAAATACGGCATGCGGTTGCTTCAAACACTGGTATAAACACCATTCAGTGTAAATTGTGATAATGGTAATTAATAAATCGCAATTACAATTTCAAGGGAATAATCGACACTTCTGATTTGTCATAATCGTGCAGCACTAATAGAAAGTCTAGTCGTTTATCGGCGACTGGTATAATGTGACTGTGATGATAAAAAGCATGTCATTCAGATCTTTGGCAGATCAGATCGTCTGCAGAGACTGTGTGCCGCACCTGATCAGAGTTGTTCTTGAGCTTAACGAAGCGTCCGTCCAGGTCGATCTCGTCGATGCACAGGTTCCCGCGCGAGGAGGAATGCTGGGAGAGCTTGTAGCTGGGAGACAGTCCTGAACTCGTGCCCTCGTGTTTGCGCTTCCTCGTGCGAGAGACCGACGACTGCTGGACCGGACTCGGAGACAGATTCAGTCTGAGAGCAACCAAAGCACACAAACACAGCTCTCAGCAGCACTCAATGCACTTCATGCTAGCTAATGCATTTATTAATCTGTTAAATGTCAGCTAATAAAAACATAATTGTTTGTTCACGGTGCATGAACTAACGTTAACATTGTTATTATTATATAAATTTTAATTATGCATAAGATACAATTGTTGAAACGCACATTTAACCAAAGCATTTAAATAAAATTAAAACATTAAAAAAAAACTGCATTTATTAATCTTTGTTAAATGTTAGCTACTAAAAAGTTGTTCATTGTCCGTTCACTGTGCTTGAATTAATGTTAACAAATACAACTTTTAAAAAAATGTATTATTAAATGCTAAAATAATTATATAAATTGAAATGCATAAAAACAAGGTAGATAAAATTGTTGAAAATGAACATTTAACCAAAAAAAATTCCTTTAAATAAAATACAAATAAATTTAAATAAGCAAACAAACAAATACAATTCATCCATTCAAGCAGAGCTTGGAATTAAGCGCTCTTGTTTAAAGTTAAATACTGAATTTAATTAACACATTAATATATAACCTTTTGAAACATTATAAATGTCTTTACGGTCACTTCTGATCAATTTAATGATGCATCCTTGCTGAATGAAAGTATGAGGGTCAAAGACGACAAAGGGTTCAAGCATAAAAACATAAGTGTAATACTGCTTTAAATTGTTGTTTTTCCCCCAGAAAAATTCAAACGTTTTCGGTTTAATTTAATTGCATTTTTGTTTTTCCTGAGCAAAAAAATAAATATCATACATTTTCCCAATTTACAGAAGAGAGCCACTAAAATGTCATTCAGTGTAACAACCTTGTCAGGCATATTTACAACAAAAATCAATTTATGACACATTAAAAGACTAATTACTTCCACCCCAAATACTAATTAGCTGTCATTTTACATTTTTTAAACATGCCACTAGCCTAGGTTTTGTCCATTTATCAGCAATACTTTTTTACTCATTTAAAACACAATGAAATTTAATATACTCCCTTATTCTTTTATATATTTTAATATGTACACGTCAGAATAAGCATGTTCTACATAAATATTGTGTTACACTGAATGACAATGTAACATTTTTTCAACCAAATTTTAACATTTTATTCTCCTCTTATTTGAAACCTTAAAAGTCGACACTTTACTTACATTTAATGTGCTTTCTATCGACATATAATCACTTGTACATTTCTTTTGATGCGGACATCTTAACATCTTTGACCCAGTAATATTATGAAAAATAAAAAAATCTTTGCTTTTTGCAGATATACATTAAAATGAATAAAATTGAAAACAAATTATCCACTAACATTTACTTTTTTTTGTTGTTGAAAAAAATTATATTAATATCCTTTAGCACTTTTGATCAATTTAATGCATCTCTGGTGAATAGAATTTCTTAAAATAATAAAAAAATTAAAAAAACGGAGTAGATGAGCTTAAAATCACCAAAAAAACAAACGTTCATATAAATAAATAAAACTCTAAATACAAATGTTTTTTTTCATCAGTGGAATTCAATACCACAATCAATTAGAGAATGTTAATCATTAACTCATTTAAGCATCATTTTAAGAAACCGCTTCCTCATAACCAACAACGTGAACATTAATGTTGTTCATATATATTAATAAGCTGCTTTCTATTAAATTTTTTTTAATACATTTATTTTATTGTCAGTTTGTATAATTCGTTGCTTAATTTTTGGTTGAATTTCGTTGTCATTGTCTTTTCTATTTTTTTTTTTCTTCTTCTAGTTTTTTGGCCTAATAACATCTGGCAAAGGGACTACCAATGAAAACTAGCATTTGGGCTAATTTGGGTACATTTACTTTCATGAATGTTGATTAAAACCCTCATCCGTCCCTCCCGAACCTAGAACAAAAGTGTCCCTCGCGGGTCAAAATGACCCGAAGGCTAAAAATGACATTCATTTCATTGTTGGTCCAGAAATCTTACATTGATACAATTTTATAATTTGTTTTCTAAATATTTATGTAGGTTTTTCTATTATTTTTTGGTGATTTATATCATATTTACCTTTTATTCTGGATATTTTTAAGGAAATAAGCAGTTTTTGTACATTTCACCAAAAAATAAGAGACACAATTTCAGTCCCGTTTCATCAAAAACCAACAGGTGGCCTTGGAATTGAGTCACTGAGTGTCTCTGATGCCATCTGGTGGGAAAATTTACATAAAATTGCATTTTATGGTTACAGCTACTAGAGAGGCCTATAGGATCCTATGGAGACTTTTAACGGAGCAAAACAAGTGAAACATGAGAAATAAGATCATCTTAAGGCTTCAATTTGGTTAAGGATTCAAATATATATTGAAACATTACAAAATTCATATTTAAAAAAAAAAAAAAATTCTAACTGAATTAGAACCTAAACATGTATATTTCATAAATATATAATATATTTAAAAAAAACATTGGTCTCCACCACATCACTCTAAAAAAAAAAAAAAAAAAAAAAAAGGAAAAATGACAGTCATAACCCAGCAGAAAGATGAAAAATATTATAATGTGTTCTATGGGAGTATGTGTACCATGTATGTGTATGTGTGTGTATGTGAGTTTTTTTCTGCATTGGGGATATTCTGTAGTCTCAGCCCTACGTTTGGGTATAAATCTTTACTGGATTGTCTCAGATTTTGTATATATATACTAATGAAAAATGCAGTTTTCTCGTAAATTCCATTCATTCCTATGCGGGTCAATATGACCCGCGAGGGACCCTTTTGTTACTTTTTTTTATTGCATTAATTTAAACTCCTCGAATCCACTCAATTTTTTTGGTGTATTCCTGGTGCAAGTGTGAATGAAGTAAAGAAATCTTGGACCGTACGATCAACAGACGATATTTAGAATCTTTTTGAAAATCTTTTTCGGGTCAAAATGACCCGAGGGACGGATGAAGGTTTTAGTGTACACTGTAGTGGCTCACCGCTTCTCCTCTCCCTCCAGCATCTTGCGGTAGGCGTTGATCTCCATGTCCAGCATGAGCTTGACGTCCAGCAGGTTCTGGTGCTCCTCCAGCTGCTCCTGCATCTGCTGCCGCATGTCTGCCATCTCCTGCTCCTTCTGCGAGAGCCGCTGCTGGTTCATCTGTCGCTCACGCGCCAGCATCTGCTCCAGCTCCTGAACACGAGCCTCCAGAACCCCATTCTGAGCCACAGACAAGAGCACTTCCAATCAATAAAGAGGCTCTTCTGCACACCAAGGCTGCATTTATTTTTTAAATATTATTTGAATTTAAAAGCTGTTTTCTGTGTGAATTTTACTGGCACTTTTGATCAATTGAATGCGTCCTTGATGAATAAAAATATTAATTTCTATAATTTATTTTGTATAATGTTACAAAAACTTTTTATTTTAGATAAAAATTCAGCTTTGATCAAAGAAATAAATTACAGTTTAACAGATATTCACATAGAAAACAGCTGTTTTAAATTAGAATAATATTTCACAATTTTACTGTATTTTTGATCAAATAAATGCAGGCTTGGTGAGCAAGCACGTGATGATGATTTCCTGCTGATTACAGAACCGGCTTTTTTAACAAAATGCGCATGACTATCCTTATCGTCTTATCGTGCAGCCCTATATATATATATATATATATATATATATATATATATATATATGTATATATATATAAAAAAAAAAAATAGTAATGTGAATGAATGAATGAATGGATGGATGCATTTATATAGCGCTTTGTGTATTGTTGTACACCCAAAGCATGAACACACAAAAAATGTACATGTTAGTGGATATTCCTAGTTTTTAAATATATATATATAATATTTAAAAATAACTCAATATCCACTAACATTTTTATTTTTCATGAATAAATAATAATGCCTTTGTCAAAAATGTAATGCATCCTTACTGAATAAAAGTAATAATTTCTTAATTAAATGACTGAATCGAAACTTTTGAACATGTTATAATAAATAAAATTACAAAATAAATTTTTCATGAAGAAATGATATACATGTCTTTACTGTCACTTTTGATCAATTTACAACATCCTTGCTGGAAAAAAGTATTTTGAACATTAGTGTAGATGAGCTTAAAATGACCAAATCTGAACTAAAAACCTCTTTTCAGATATAGGATCATTACCTGTTTCTGCAGGTTGTTGATCTGCAGCGACTGAGACTCCAGTCTGAGTTTAGTTCCCGCCAGCTCTTCTCTCGTCGACGAGGCGAAGTCGCTGTTCTTCACCGCCGCCTGCTTGGCGTTCTCCAGCTGCAAGAGATCAACGCAGAGCACTGAGAACCTGGAAACCAGCTTGCTCTGTGAAATGACTGACACATTACTGAGGTACCATGACAGACAGACGTGACGGACTCAAGCACTTCCTGTGCGTCCAGGTCGCAGCAGCCACTTCCTGTCGCTCAAATCCCTGAACTACAGTTTTCCTGCACCTCAGCTGAGAGAAACTGCAGACTACCTCGCTCTGAGAGACAGACGGATAAATGTACATCTCTGACTGCTGGAAAAGCCTCTTTAACCCTTAAATCGCATTAGACTCTTTTCACATGTTCCCGGGTCATTTTTGACCCGAGCTTATTAAACAGTCATAACTTCATATTTTTCAACGAACAGCATATTGTATTTGTATCATTAACTTCTCATTAATGAGTGAAAGTGCAAAAATGTCAAACCTCTGAATGCTACCGTGTTTTACTATGCTGCTACTACATTTTAACCCCTTGTTGTCCATTTAAAAAAAATTTGACATTCTATGAAATTTCAAATTTTACAAGAACTATCGCAAAACAACTGTGACGTGAGATACATAATCTTTTTTTTGCAGTATTCCTGAGAAATGTTATTTCAGTATCTCATTATATGAAATATATAAGAACAGATAAACTGATATAATTATCAGTATTAATTAATTAAATTGATCAAAAACTGTTGAAATCTACATATTCTTTTTTTAAAATGTAATCAAAACAACATCAAAAGCAACATAAATGTCACTCTGGAATGTTTTCTAATTAAATGGATTTATTTCAGTTGCATGAAGTTTCACCTTCGGATGAAAAGACGATCGACCGCGCTTCAACAATAGGTGGCAGCTTTCAAATCTAGACTATTTGTTCTTTGTACTTTTGACCTACATCGTGGAGTTCATTAGATAGAGTTAATTTGTCATGTCAGTTACATCTTTTGTCTTGTGTTTCTGTGCATGCCGAGCATATTTAAATTTACCATCAAAATTCCTCGAAGTGTGTGTGACATTCGGGAAAGAGGCTAAATGTATTTTACAGAAGTAATTCAAGACAAATTCTAACTCATACATGTGTAAAACGAACAAAAAAGCAGCATAAATTAACATGAAAAAGCCACAGTTCACTTCTGGGTCACAATTGACCCGAATGCAAAACATGTAATGATTTAGTTTAAAATAATTGTAAAAATCTGGAAAAAATAAATGCATATTTTGATAGTCTTACTCCATATGCATTTCTTTTTTTCCCGTACATTTTTATGTAACCCTTTTTGGGGTCAAAACTGACCCGAATTCCAAAGATGTAACAATTTAGTTTATATGGTTATACCTCTTAAAAATATATTTTTTTTAAATCTGAAAAAATAAATAAATTAATTAAAAATGTATTTTGGTAGCCTTAATCCATATGCAATTTTTTCCCCCATACTAAAAACTATGGATTTTTTTAGACATTTTTATGTACCGCTTCAGGCTCCAAAGATGTAACAATTTAGTTTAAATGGTTATATATCTTAATTATTTCAAAAATCAGAAAAAAATTAATTATGCATATTTTGATAGTCTTAACGTAACCATTTAGTTTAAATGGTTATACCTCTTAAAACTTTTTTTTATTTATTAATTAATAAATAAAATGTATTTTGATAGTCTTAATCCATATGCAGAGTTTTTGTAACAATTCAGTTCACATGGTTATATACCTTAAGAAATATTTTTTAAAATCTGGAAAAAAAACAAGTGTGCATTTTGATAGTCTTCATTTTCCTGTACTAAAAACCATGGATTTTTTTTTTAGAAGTGAAACTGAACTGAATGCGATGGAAGGGTTAAGCTGGTTAACGCTTGATTTTGTGCATTGCTGCTGCATTACGAAACGCATCAGAAAATTCATAAAACTGCGAAGAAATAAGCATATATGGCCTTTCCTCCAGTCAGTTTTCATCTGAAGAGAAGGGGAATTTGCTGAACATGTGGTTTATAGTCTCATACACATCCGCTTTAAAAGCTCCAGCATCTGGAGGAAACTGAGGAAAGTATTTGGGGAGATTTTGGGCAGCTTGTCTCTTCTATTCTGTCAAGAAAGGGTTTTTATTTCTGCTCTCGCAGTCTGTTTTGCCGTTTCACTGGCTGCTGCTGCTCAATGCTGGTCAGATACAGTGTAACACGCACACATGAACACCAGCCAGCTGATAGAAAGCTAGTAAGACATGCATTGCATTACTGACTGACAGCATGTTTTACAAGTGTGCACACTAGAAAAGTGCCGGGTGACTCGTGCAGGGGCAGAGAAGAAAGGAGATTGTCATGCAAAACTATATTATGACTAAAATCAAATAAAAAAAAACTACTACTACAATAATAATAATATAAAAATGTTTATAATAATGATAATAATAATAAAAATAAACAATACATATCATATAATAATAGTAATCATAATATATATATATATATATATTTTAATATAAAAATATATAAATAAAATATTTAATAATGCATGCATATATATATATATATATATATACACACACACACACACACACAAATAATGATATTACTATAATAATAACATTTCATTATATATTTTTTCAATATAACAATTTTTTAAAACCATAATGGTAATAATCAATATAATTTAATAATAATAATAATAATAAAAATAGACATTTTTATAATGCAAATAATATTAATATAATAAATTATATAAAATTTAATAATAATAATAAATAAATTCCTCTAAATAAGTATCCATCTACCTTTTCTAGTAATAATAATAATAATAATAATAATATTATTATTATATATAACTTTTTTAAACAATGGCAATACACCATTTTGTGTATTATTATTAATAAATACATAATATAAATTATAATGCAAACAATATTACTATAATAGAATATACATTTAATAATAATAGTAGTATTAATAATAGTAAATTTTATATATAAAAAATATTTTTTCTAATAATAATAATATAAAATATATTTTTTATTTGGCCAGGACACCAGGGATACACCTCTAATTTTTACGAGAAGTAATATGTTATATATATATATAAATATAAACATAGCAAACAATATTACTATAATAGAATATACATTTAATAATAATAGTAGTATTAATAATAGTAAATTTTATATATAAAAAATTTTCTAATAATAATAATAATATAAAATATATTTTTTATTTGGCCAGGACACCAGGGATACACCTCTACTTTTTACGAGAAGTAATATGTTATATATATATATAAATATAAACGTAAGCAGGCCTTGGGAGAAAATAGTTTTTAGATTATAAATAAAATGAATGAGCGTTTCTGAACAAAACGTTCAGGTGAGAACAGAAGCAGACGGTTGTACCTTAGCGGCGAAGGTTTTCTGCAGCTCCTCTTTGTACTGCTGGATTTGAGCCTCATGTTCCTCTCGGAGCTGCTTCAGGGCTTCGGCTAGTTTCCCCTCGAATTCCTTCTGTCTGCCGCTGTCCAGCTCCACCAGCCGGCTCTCGTGACGACTGCGCATCTCACGCACCTCCTGCACACACAGCAGCAGCAGAAGTGCAGACGCCATCAGAGCCCGGTCTGTGCGAACCAGCATCTAGAACTAGAACACAGCAGAAACCTGTTCACTGAGATGCTTCTGGAAGTCCAGCTGCTCCTGAAGCGTCTGGAGCTGGTTCTCAGCGTCCACGCGCCGCAGCATCTCCGAGTTCAGCTGGGCTTTGAGGTTCTGCAGCCCAGACTCCAGCTGTAAGGCAGAGGAAGAGTTTACTTCATTGGGTTCAAGGTTTGGAAACGACTGCACATTATAACAACTCAAGCTGGGCAGGACTTGTACTCGTTCCTATCAGTCAACGTTTAGTCACACAGTGGGCTGACGTACACTAAATAAATAAAATAAACGATTACTAAAACTAACTAAAGTTAAAATGAAAAGACAAAACATTTAAAAAAATATATAAAAACAGAAAAATATAAAAAATTAAGTTTAAAATTTTCACATTACTGTTAAAATAAAACCATACAAAAAAAACTGGCGTTACTTGAAACAAAACTTTAGCAGAAATAAAATAAAAAATCTTTATCCATCTATAAATATATATCTATATGTATCTATCTAGATAGATAAATATTTCTATATTTTATCTAGTTGCCAAGGCAACATCTCATTTCTACAGTGTAATGCACAAAACCAACAAACTAAAACTGGAATGAAAATTAACAACTATTTAGACAAAAAAAAAAAAAAACTAAAATATAAAATGTTTAAATAATAAAGTTTAATATATTGTCAGTAACAAACTAAAACCATAAATTATTTTCATGTCTTGAAATAAAACTATAACTGAAATAAAATATATATTAGTTGCCAAAGCAATATTTCTAATTTTCATACAGTGTAACTTGATGTACTAAAATTAACTAACTGAAATAAAATTGATATAAAATACATAAGACAAAAACACACAATTATTAAAATTAAGTTAAAATGAAAAGACAAAATATTAAAAAATATATATTTTTGTTAAACAATCCATAAAAAAAATAAAAAAAATAAATAAATAAAAAAAGTATTACTTAAAAAAAAAAAATAATAAAAAAAACTTTATTGTAGCTCGTTGCCAAGGAAACATTTCTCATTTTGATTGGATGTACTAAAATAACAAATTATTAAACATCAAAAAAAGACAAAGTATATAACAAAAATAAAAGCTTATTCATAAGATGATTAATAAAATTCACAAAATATTAATAAAAAGTAGAATGGTCTCACAAATGAGTAAAACAACACTGATCTCCATCACAGCGCAGGATAACTGAAGTCATGTGATCCACGATTACTGACACCGGCCTGAAGCACGGCGGCCCGTTCTTCGTACGCGGCTAACTCAGTTAGCTGGATGTGAGTGTTGAGGATTTGGCCTGATCTTGGATTGTTTGGTTCTTCGAAGCTCATCCCGGAGTTACGGTCATAGCAACAGCTCCGTAAACTTAAACTTGCTCGGGAGCAGCTTATTTCATGCAAACAGGATTAGATCGCATCTTTTTAAGCAGAATTGATACTTAAAATCTGTCCCAGACACTGCTACTTTATTACAAGAGTACCCCTCTAATCCAGGGACAATAATAATCATTTAAAAATGTATTTAAAGATAATATGATCATGTTGTGTTGTCTTTAATACTATAGACACAGCCAGTTTTACTCACTGAAGGATTTATTCGTCATAAAATTACTACTTCATACTTGTATTCGAGTCTTACACACATGCTATACAGATAATGCAGAGTCGTGCATTAATGCGGTCACGTAACACATCTGCTTCCAATATAAAATGACATGAATTGCTAATTGCTACATTGAAATAAAAATTTAAAATATTAGAAATCGTGAATATAAATAATTGGGAATCATGTGGGAGCAGGCTTATTTCATGTAAACAGGATTAGATTGCATCTTTTTAAGCAGAATTGATACTTAAAATCTGTCCTCTACCACCGCTACTTTATTACAAGAGTACCCTAATAATCCAGGGACAATAATTTAAAAATAATAATCATTTAAAAATGAATTTAAAGATAATATAATAATGTTGTGTAGACTTTAATACTACAGACACAGCCAGTTTTACTCACTGAAAGATTTATTCGTCATAAAATTATTACTTCATACTTGTATTCGAGTCTTACACACATGCTATACAGATAATGCAGAGTCGTGCATTAATGCGGTCACGTAACACATCTGCTTCCAAGATAAAATGACATGAATTGCTAATTGCTACATTGAAATAAAAATTTAAAAAAATGTAAATAAAAATAAAAAGTGCACATTTGATTGATCGAGTATAACATTTATGTAGTTTTGTTCGCTTGGCTGTTTCCTTATAAAGGTCCAAAAATTTGTCAAGTTTTTCGTCAGGTGTCTTTATTAATTAGATGATGTCATTACGTTGCTGTCTTGCCGCCAGCCAATCGCTGCATTGCTAATTGTGGTTTCGAGTATCGATGCATAGCCCCTTTTAAACCAACCCATGAACATGCAATTATCTCAGATAATTAATGCAGCCAGACTAATCATCAACAACTGCTGCGCTCGAAGAACCGGATTAGCCAGATCCTGATTAGCGCGATGATTTTCATCTCGGATGTAATAAGCGACGTACGAAGAACGGGCCCCTGACTAGTGATGGAGTAAACGGCTAGTTAGTGCGCACCGCTTCAGCCGCTGTGCTTTGATGTGTGTTTGCACTCACATTAACCACTTGAGTCCTGAGCTCAGAAATCTCATTCTCCAGCCGGCGGTTGGTGGCCAGTAAATTGGCATAATCTGCTACTTCATACTTGTATTCGAGTCTTACACACATGCTATACAGATAATGCAGAGTCGTGCATTAATGCGGTCACGTAACACATCTGCTTCCAATATAAAATGACATGAATTGCTAATTGCTACATTGAAATAAAAATTTAAAATATTAGAAATCGTGAATATAAATAATTGGGAATCATGTAAAAAATGTAAATAAAAATAAAAAGTGCACATTTGATTGATCGATTATAACATTTATGTAGTTTTGTTCGCTTGGCTGTTTCCTTATAAAGGTCCAAAAATTTGTCAAGTTTTTCGTCAGGTGTCTTTATTAATTAGATGATGTCATTACGTTGCTGTCTTGCCGCCAGCCAATCGCTGCATTGCTAATTGTGGTTTCGAGTATCGATGCATAGCCCCTTTTAAACCAACCCATGAACATGCAATTATCTCAGATAATTAATGCAGCCAGACTAATCATCAACAACTGCTGCGCTCGAAGAACCGGATTAGCCAGATCCTGATTAGCGCGATGATTTTCATCTCGGATGTAATAAGCGACGTACGAAGAACGGGCCCCTGACTAGTGATGGAGTAAACGGCTAGTTAGTGCGCACCGCTTCAGCCGCTGTGCTTTGATGTGTGTTTGCACTCACATTAACCACTTGAGTCCTGAGCTCAGAAATCTCATTCTCCAGCCGGCGGTTGGTGGCCAGTAAATTGGCATAATCTGCTTCCTTCGAGTTCAGAGCGGCTTCGAGATTCCTCCAGTGTCCCACAGCCGTGGTCAGCTCGCTCTCCTTCTTATTATTCCTGAGACGTGAGGAACAAACACTGCATTCATCAGGATGCATGAATAATTTGTCAACGACATTTTTTTCCACAGACGACAACGAACTAAAACTCTTTTTGAATGACAAAAACTATGATGAAAGTCTATTGACAGGGAGGGACGATTTGGGAAGAGATTCATTCAGAACGAATCTGCTGCGTGGTTCGGAGGTTAGATGCGTGCGAACATATGAACCGGCGGGACAGAAGCTAACATACACTTGCTGCACGTCGCATAAAACGTTCAAAAATGTCAATATGTGTGAGTAAGAGAAGAGCAGACATATGAATAAATCTGACGACACAAGAGAGAACTCAATTCGGTCTGGTTTTCTGAGCGCAGACACTGAAGCACACACACAGAAAGCGCCTCTCACACAGCACATAAGTACTGTTTTACATTGCATGAACAGAGCTAGTGCTGGGCGGTATGACCAAAAATGTATATCACGGTATTTTTCAAAATTATACCGGTTTCACGGTACATGACGGTATTTTTGTTTTCATGCATGACCGGGTGTTAATCATTTTTTACTGATTGAGAGGAAATACTGCAGTATATTGACTTAGAATGCCCTATTTCACTGTCATGACGAGTGAATATTGTCAAAAAAATTCCACACTAAATAATGACTAAACACGACGGCTTTTAATACATGTTAACCAGGAGTCGCTCTCAGATGATGATAATAATAATATCTTATATTTAAATATATAAAAAATATAAATGTATTAGTGTTTAGTTTTTAATAGCATTTAATGATTTTTAATTAACAATAGCATTTATTCTTATTTATAATAAATAAAAACATACATCAATATCAATATCAATAAAAATTATGTTCTGGGTTATTTTCAACCTATTGTGTATGGCCCACATGCTGTTCATTATCATGGATAATATTTGGAATAATTTCAAAATGAAATTAAATATACATATAATGGAAGTCCTAAAATAGCTACCAACATATTTCAAAATAATTCATATTCCTGTTGCCTGTGGAGCTTCCATTAAAAGCGCATTAGTGTAAACTCTGAGACGTGTTTATTACCGTCTGTGGAGATCAACATCATGCGTAGAGATGCTGTTCATAGACATCGAGTTGAAAAGAAGCATTGTTGTAATCATTCACTCCGTTGACGTGTTAGTAAGCGAGTGGTTAGTTAACTGCACTCGTCAAAGTCAAGCAGCCTCCATCAACTGGACAGTTCTGTGCAAGACGGCCATGAGTTTTTGGCATCTTTCCCTCTTTTGCTCTCTCACGTCTCGTTCTGGATTGTGTACAGCTTCCACACCGCGCCAGTTGTTGATTTCCCAGCATGCTCTCGGCCATCAGACAGACTGGTGACGGGCGGTGTGACCAAAAATTTATATCACGGTATTTTTCAAAATGATACCGGTTTCACTGTTCATGACGGTATTTCTGTTTTCATGCATGACCGGGTGTTAACCATATTTTGTACTGATTGAGAGGAAACACTGCAGTATATTGACTTAGAATGCTCTATTTTACTGTCATGATGAGTGAATATTGTCCAAAAAGTACCACACTAAATAGTGACTAAACACGACCGCTTTTAATACATGTTAACCAGGAGTCGCTCTCATTTATAATCACGGCATCGTCTGATAAAATCCACATGCATCTACACAAAAGAGCGGCTATGCGGTTGTTTTGGCTAGATTACCGGGCGCTGGATATTTGTGGAGGTCAGTGTGGATATTGTGGATGAGTTCTTCTGTGTCATCACGTTCTATTAGTTCTACAGCTTCAGTTTCTGAGCTTTCACGCTTAGTAACACATACAGCTGTTCCCTCACCACAGTGCAACAGTGAAAGGGGACGCCTTTCAAACAGTGCCGCGTTCCCAACGTTGTTTAAGCGACACACACCGGTATTGCAGTATTTTAAAAATTCATATCATAACAAAAATAAACACCGGTATTCGGTATGAACAGGTATACCGCCCAGTGCTACGGAGAATTACTCATAAAACGATGTCGAATTGTCCGTTTTGACGAGTATTCACATAAACACCGTTGATTACATCTTAAGTGAACGTAAACAGCAGGGAGAACGTGTATCAGTATATTGCATCCATTGCAGCGGTGCATTCGGATTTAAAGGGACAGCAGCCTAATTTAGTTGCTATCGTAGCGGGCGCTGGATATTTGTGGAGGTCAGTGTGGATATTGTGGATGAGTTCTTCTGTGTCATCACGTTCTATTAGTTCTACAGCTTCAGTTTCTGAGCTTTCACGCTTAGTAACACATACAGCTGTTCCCTCACCACAGTGCAACAGTGAAAGGGGACGCCTTTCAAACAGTGCCGCGTTCCCAACGTTGTTTAAGCGACACACACCGGTATTGCAGTATTTTAAAAATTCATATCATAACAAAAAATAAACACCGGTATTCGGTATGAACAGGTATACCGCCCAGCGCTACGGAGAATTACTCATAAAACGAATTGTCCGTTTTGACGAGTATTCACATAAACACCGTTGATTACATCTTAAGTGAACGTAAACAGCAGGGAGAACGTGTATCAGTATATTGCATCCATTGCAGCGGTGCATTCGGATTTAAAGGGACAGCAGCCTAATTTAGTTGCTATCGAGTCATTGATGTTAATCAAGCAACAACAGAAAGACAGAAAATCACGCACTGCTCTTGACTGAAAAACTTTAGTAGCCCTAAAGATTCATCTAAATTTATTTATAGAAATAAATGTCTGCTTGAAAGAATTAAGAATATGGTAAAGCACATTTAGCTGTAGCTTAGCATAGATCAATGAATCCGATTAGACCGTTAGCATTACGCAGCGCCTGAAAATAGTCCCCGTGCAAGCAGGTGGTTATGTTGAAGTAAGTTAGCCTATTTTCAGGCGCTGCGTAATATCATTGCGCCTGCATGGTACGGCAGCAAGGCTCCTTAATTATTACGCCGGAATGAGAGTATAGCTCCTAACCGTATCGGCCTAGAAAATCCCAACTCTTCATTTTCCGTCAGTCTTAGTACACGACGTAACTACAGAAGAGTCAGGTTTTAAATGGGTCATTTTTGAGCGAGATGCTAACGGTCTAATCGGATTCAATTATCTATGCTAAGCTAAGCTAAAAGTGCTACCGCCAGACTCGGAGATCCGCTGAATGGATTGGAAAACGGTAAAACTCACCTGTTTAACTCTAGCAGAGTTAATGAGCCTATTTTCAAAAATAGTGGAGTGTTTCTTTAAAAAAAAAAACCTACATCATAACATGAGTTCTGACTATCTTTTTTCGTTGCCCCCCCCCAATCACGTTTTTGTAGTATAGTGTGTGTGTGTATAGATGTAGTATAGTGTGTGTGTGTATAGATGTAGTATAGTGTGTGTGTGTGCTGATAGATGTAGAATAGTGTGTGTATAGATGTAGTATAGTGTGTGTGTGTGTGTGTGTGCTGATAAGATGTAGTATAGTGTGTGTGTGTGCTGATAGATGTAGAATATTGTGTGTGTGTATAGATGTATAGTGTGTGTGCTGATAGATGTAGTATAGTGTGTGTGATAGTGTGTGTGTATAGATGTAGTATAGTGTGTGTGTGTGTGTGTGCTGATAGATGTAGTATAGTATGTGTGTGTTGCTCTTTTTTTTCTGCAGCAACTCAGAGCACTTTTCATATTTTTTATCCTGGCTGAAGCACATTTGTTTCAATCTATAACAATAATCAGCCGCCCTACATTACAGTCAAAGGTTTTTGCTCTCTTCTGCTCACCAAGTCTGCATTTATTTGATCCAAAGTACAACAAAAACAGCTGTTCTTCTGAACTTTCTATTCATCAAAGAAACCTGAAAAAATCTACTCCACTGTTTTCAACATCATCATAAATTATTTTTGAGCAGCAAATCAGAATATTAGACTGATTTCTGAAGATCATGTGACTGGAGTAATGATGCTAAAAATACAGCTTTGAAATCACAGGAATAAATTAAATTTTAAAATATTTCC